AGGATTAATAAAAGCGTGGAGCAAAAATATTTTCTGGTAATGTTCCGCAGCATTGTGCTACCTTTCTTGATGAAGAATTTTTCACTTGATCTTTAGGAAGAAACCATTAGATAAGCAAAGATCAAAACTCGTTTTAGTGATGTGGAAGAGTTGAGGAACAGTAAGCATTTAAAAAAAATTTTTTTTAATGTTTATTTTTGAGAGAGAGAGAGACAGAGCATGAACGGGGGAGGGCCAGAGAGAGGGAGACACAGAATCTGAAACAGGCTCCAGGCTCTGAGCTGTCAGCACATAGCCCGACGCGGGGCTCGAACTCATGGACCGTGAGATCATGACCTGAGCCCAAGTCGGACGCTTAACCGACTGAGCCACCCAGGCGCCCCGAAGGTGCCTTCTTTTAAGGAAGAGCTCATCGTCTTTAGGACCCTTTGAGGGATATGTGTGGGCTTATTGGTAACTGTGTCACCTTGGGCAGGTTCCTTGGCCACGTTGTACGTCATTTTCCTCAGAGGAAAATGGAGACACGAGCAGGCTCTAACCCAGAGGGTTATTGCAAAGGATTAAATGAGAAAACCCAAGAAAAGCAGTTGGAACAGTACCTCCATGTGCCGGTCCCCACTAGTGTCAGCTAGTTGATTGTTACTGTTATTGTCACAAACCCACACACCCGTGGAAAATGTTATGTCCCGTAACAGGATTAATAAAAGCGTGGAGCAAAAATATTTTCTGGTAATGTTCCGCAGCATTGTGCTACCTTTCTTGATGAAGAATTTTTCACTTGATCTTTAGGAAGAAACCATTAGATAAGCAAAGATCAAAACTCGTTTTAGTGATGTGGAAGAGTTGAGGAACAGTAAGCATTTAAAAAAAATTTTTTTTAATGTTTATTTTTGAGAGAGAGAGAGACAGAGCGTGAGCGGGGGAGGGGCAGAGAGAGAGGGAGACACAGAATCTGAAACAGGCTCCAGGCTCTGAGCTGTCAGCACAGAGCCCGACGCGGGGCTCGAACTCACGAATCGTGAGATCGTGACCTGAGCCGAAGTCAGACGCTTCACCGACTGAGCCGCTCAGGCGCCCTAACCGTAAGCATTTTTAAGAAGGGGCTGTAATGGAGAGAGCTGTAAGATATACAGACGGAAGAGGTACTTCAAAAGAAACCACGTGGTTTACTTTAAGAATATGTTATCCGATGTCTCCTGCTCGTGTGCGACGAATATTTACCGTGGATCAAGGTTTTAACTCAGAAGGGTCTGTTTTCTAGTTTGAGAAGTCCTTCCCGGTCTCTCTGTGTTTTACTGCTCAAGTTTTACTGCTCGATTGCTTGAGTTGTTCTGCCAACAAGTGTCCGCTGGGCGGCTGTGGTCCACAGAGCGGTGGGGCACACTGAGGGATCCAGAGACAGGCTCCTGCCCTCAGGAAGCTTCCAGTCTGGCGGGTGGAAGACAGATAAAGGACAGCCTGGCCTGTGAGAGGGCAGTGTGGTGAGGGGTGAAGAGTGAGCCCTGGGGCAGACCGCTGGGGGTGTAGAGTCCCCAAGATCCCGCTTCTCAGCTGTGATACTTCACTTCGTAATTCCTTAGTTTTCTCTAAAATGGGGGTGAAAACCCACACCAAGTGCTTTGCGGAGAATACGAAATGTGCAAAATGAAAATGCAGGGCCCTTGTTTAAAAAGCGTTGGAAATTTCAGGGCCCCTGGGTGGCTCAGTCGGTTGAGCGTCCGGCTCGATTTTGGCTCAGGTCATGATCCCAGGGTTGTGGGATCGAGCCCCTGTGTCGGGGTCTATGCTGAGCGTGGAGCCTGCTTAAGATTCTCCCTTTCTTTCTTCCTCCGCCCTCTTGCCTACTCGTGCGCGCGCGCGCTCTCTAAGATAAAAATTAAAAAATTAAAAGTGTTGAGAATTTCAAGATGGGACAGCAGAGCATTAAGCAGCCGTGGGGCCCTGGGCAGCCGTATAGGTCACACGTGTGCCCAGAAGCTGGCCTCGATGGGGATAATAATAATGCCTTCTCGTAGGGTTGTTATGATGGTCCAGTTGGCCAATAGCAATGCCTGACGTGGAATAAACACTCAGCGTTAGCTGTTACTTCTCTAGTAGTTACTCTCGTCAGTAGGCAAAGCCAACTGTTAGAGGTAGTTGCTTTCCATCACCATGAGAAGTGATATTCTGCTTAGAAAACCGGATCTCAGGGCGCCTGGGTGGCTCAGTCGGTTGAGCGTCCAACTCTTGATTTCCACTCAGCTCATGATGTCACAGTTGGGGTTCGTGAGATCGAGCCCCGAGTTGGGCTCTGTGCTGACGGTGAGGGACCTGCTTGAGATTCTCTCTCCCTCCCTCTCTGCCCTTCCCCCACTCGTTCTTTCTTTCTCTCTCTCTCCCGAAATAAATAAGTAAACTAAAAAAAAAAAAAGAAAAAAAAAAAAGAAAGGAAAAGAAAAAGAAAACCATATCTCAGTTTTGCTGTGGGACTGCATATCACAACCAAGTGCAATCCCGCTCTCAAAGCCGCCTCCCGCTCCAGCATGTGTGAGAGCCAGACTTGCATCGCTAACCGCCTGCTGGTCTCACACCCCGCAGTACCTGATCTCAACCGCCCCTACACACTGTCCAACAACCTGTGTTTGCATTCAGCAGGTGCCTACTTGGTGCCAGGCTCCGTGCTCAGCTCGGGTGCACAAGATAGGACGCCTGCCCTCACGGAGCTACGTTCTGGCAATTTCTCATCTTAGCTGCTGGTCACGAGGGTGCTGAGACCAGCCTGTTAGAAGCCAGTCTGCGCTCTCCCCAGCCACGCGACAAGCCCACATCGGGAAGATTCTCAGTCTTGCCCGTTCTGGGCCGTGCACCATCTCCCTTGTCACCTCCCTCGCGGGGCGTCTCCTCCGCAGGCTGTTGCCGCTTATTGTGCCTTAAGATTCTGTTCTTGAGAGTCCAGTTGCCTCTTGGGCGCTGTCTAGAAAACTTTTTCTCTCTTGTCCTTGCTTACTAAGATTCCGCCTATAACTAACTGTCTTGCCTGCTGACTGTGGGTGCATGTGCGGACTCCACGCGAGCAGACTCTTCCTGAACCCCCTTCGGATGTCTGCTTCCCGTGTTTCTGGTCCTTATTTGGTAGTAAGTGCACAACTATTGGTTGAGTCAGTGGGGGACTATGGGTGGCCTCTTGCAGAGGGACAGCGCCATTGGCAGAGTTGGTCACACTGTTTGGGGTCCCACGGAAGGGGATTCCTTACTCGACTGGCTGTTACCACGGGGCATCTTAATTTCTGTGTCCTACCCTCCCCCTGCGCAGTGAGCTCCAGAAAGGCCAGCAGGTGGCCTGGCAGGGGACAGGGACCCAGCAGGTGTTTGTGGAATCCGTTCCCAAATACCTTAGTGCCTACCATGGTATCTGGCATACAGCAGATAGTCAGTAAACACTGGAGCGGACCGGCACCTTCCACGTCAGTTGTCACTCTAACCCTATACTTCATGTGAGCCTGTCGTGCTGAGGGCCTTTGGAAAATCCGCTCGTGTTCTCACTCTCGCGTTGCCCTCAGAAGGCCAGAAGCCAGATCTTTCTTGATGACTGTAGTTGGGACAAACTTCCCATAGGCGTCTCTGTCTATCAAGTGTATTTAAAACCTGGGACTCTTATTCTGGAAGAAAAGAAAAATGTTCTCTTATTAGTGGAGTTTTTGCCATTCTGTGGTTCTTTTTTTAATTTTTTAAAAATGTTTTTATTTTTATTTTTGAGACAGAGAGAGACAGCATGAGCAGGGGAGGGGCAGAGAGAGAGGGAGACACAGAATCCGAAGCAGGCTCCAGGCTCTGAGCCGTCAGCACAGGACCGGACGCGGGGCTCGAACTTATGAGCTGTGAGATCACGACCTGAGCCGAAGTCGGACGCTCAACCGACTGAACCACCCAGGCGCCCCGTGCCCTTCTGTTGTTCTGACTTTAATTAATTATAAATATTAAATCCCGTGACAAACTCTGGATATTTTAAAGTCGTTTGTATGCTCCTGTTGCCAGACGCTCTCAGATGAAGACTGTTTGACCTCAGTCAGTGTTGAGGGAGGAGGGCCCTGGCTCTCTCATAAGGGTGCCGTCAGGCCGTCTGCTGGGGCTGCTGTCTCTCCAGGCTGGGGTTCCCCACTCTCAAGCTCGGTCCTGAGGTGCTCCGCCGGCCCCTGCTCCTCACCGGCTCGTTGCACTCGGGGCGTCCGTCCCTCACCACTTTGAGCCTCTCCCCTGGGCCGCTCGAGTGTCCCCGAGACCTGCCAGCTAGCCTCCCCCAGAGCCAGTGCTCCAGGGGAGAGAGGTGGCAAGAGACAGAAAGGAAGCCACGGCATCTTTTATTATCTAATCTTGGAAACTTCTGCCTTCTTACTGGTCACAGGTCACCCCGCGCAAGTGAGGGTGGCTCCCGTCCCCTCCGCCTCAGCTGGCTGGGGGCCGGTGGAGAGCCACTGGCTGGAAGGCCACGAGGCCACAAGGCCTTGAGTGTTCCCACCAGGGGAACGTCCCTGGTTAGTGTTCATTCGCGTGACTGGTAGGGAGCCCTGCTGATGCCTAATTAATACATAATTATCTGTAACGTAATAATAAAGAGATTGAAAGTTCAGGGTTTTTTAAAAAAAATTTTTTTAGTTGACTTATTTATTGTGAGAGAGACAGTGATAGGGTGAGTCAGGGAGTGGCAGAGAGGGGGGAGAGAGAGAATCCCAAGCAGGTTCCCCACAGAGCCTGACGCGAGGCTCGAACTCCCGAAACTGTGAGATCGCGACCTGAGCCGAAACCAAGAGTTGGACACTTCACCAACTGAGCCTCCCAGGCGCCCCAAATGTTGAGGTTTTTTTTTAAAAAAAAAAAAAACCAGGTGAGATATTTTGTACTAACCCGTTTCAAATTGTGAACGTTAAGCAGCTTTCAAGCTCGGTCATGTATCGCAGCCTGTGAGATGGCTCATTTAGCTGATAGGGATGAATTAATAACTGAGTTTTGAAATTGTCTTCCAGGTGTGTTTTGACTGTGGGGCCAAGAACCCCAGCTGGGCGAGTATAACCTACGGGGTGTTCCTTTGCATCGACTGCTCAGGGTCACACAGGTCACTCGGGGTCCACTTGAGCTTTATCAGGTGAGTGAGTCTGTTTTCGTCATGGGCGGGAGCGGCTCTTTTCCCCTTTTCTGCTTTACGTTTGCTTTGCCGTCAGGTAGAATGAGAGGCCGACGAGGAGTCGCGGGGACCGAAATCTTTATAGTTAGGTAACCTGGAAGATGACTTATTTTCCGTTCGCTGACTGTTCCGTAGAGCTCTGTGTCAGAGATCTGAGGCTGTGGTGCTGCAGACAGAGTCAGGAGGGAGGATCTGAGACCCTCTTCCCTTCCCTTTATCACCTTCTAATAACCAGCAGATCAGCGACAGCAGGGGATTGGGGTGCTACAGGCCTGGAGGAGAGCTGATACAAAGGGCGAGAAGCAGGGCGCCTGGGTGGCTCAGTCGGTTGAGCGTCCGACTTCGGCTCAGGTCATGATCTCCTGGTTGTGAGTTCGAGTGCCGCGTCGAGCTCTGTGCTGACAGCTCGGAGCCTGGAGCCTGCTTCCGGTTCTGTGTCTCCCTCTCTCTCTGACCCTCCCCCCATTCATGCTCTGTCTCTCTCTCTCTCTCAAAAATAAATAAAGATTGAAAAAGGCGAGAAGGCTCGTTATAGCACAGGCCTACAGCTCTGGCTCCCAGGGCCGCTGACCTCACGAAGCCTGAGTGAATGATTGTGTTGGGAGTTTGAGTGGCAATTTCATGTGCTTGTAAAAAGAAAGTCTTTTTTTTTTTTTTAATCTGCAGACGTGGGCTGCCATTGGCTCCCTCTGGGGAGTACATATCTTCTACTCTGGACAGTCTGGTTGCAGCCTAGATGGGGCTTTTGCGTGTGGCCCCCTTGGACACAGCCCCACAGTCCGGTGGGAGGCTGAAGTGCCCTTGTGTGAAATAAAATAATCTGAAATAATAAAAGGATCTCCAGGCAGGCTCAGCACTTGGAACTGAGCGAGGCTTGCTCGTCAGCAACCCCCCCTCCATTCCTTATGACTTAAGGAACATCGATATAATACTATTACTATGAAGAACATTGGTTCCTATAAGATAAATCGATTATTATTTGTAATGAGACATTTTCTATGATGGCACAAAAACTACATAGTAAAAATAATATAATTTTCTTTTAAAAATATATTCACTTAAAAAAAAAAAAAAAACATTCCTGATGTACTTTCGTGAGTTCTTTTTTCCGGAAATCAGTTTGTAGAGGCTGATGGGCTAAATATTTATAGCCACGTAACTCCGTAGGCAATTACTTAGAAAAGGGAGTTCTTTTGTGTTCTTCCTGGTTTCAGAGTATCTATCCATTTCTTGTCTTTTTGTCTTAGATGCTGCTCCCAGAATATTTTGAATACACTGTCCTGTTCTTGTCCTTTTCTTTAAATGTTGAGGGATTTACTTGCCCGGGCAGGTTTCTTTTTGGGGTACTTCCCTCCTCTCCACCTCCCCCCCACCCCCCCACCCCCCGGATTGGTTGTTACCGGTTACCATAAGGTGAGCTGCTCTGCCCAGAGCTCATGAAGTCTGGACTCCATTGGTCTTCCTTTCTATCTTCACTGTGTTCTGTCCCTCTTCCTCTGTGCCAAGTCCCGCCCTTGTAATCTGGCCCTCCCTTTGCCTCTCCAGCAAAGCACACCTCCAGTATAAACCATTCCAGGCAATCAGGCGGTCTTCTGACGTGTTCCCTGGTGAGGGGAGGACTGACCCAGATCATAATGAGGCTAGACAGCAGGGTCTGTCTGGGCTGCTGTAGGTTTAATGACTAGCCTTTTAAAAGTCAGATAAATAGAACTATGAATCGCAGTGTTTATAAATGATTCAGAAACAACTGTCCAAAAGTCCTATACAACCGGAGGGCAGCAGTCTAGGATTTGGGCAAGAGGAAGTCAAGGAAGGTGAGAATACTCAGCAGGGTTTTTGTTTTTTAAGAGGCGGAGGTTTGCTCATTAAAATTTTTTCTTGGTGGGAAGAAATTACAAACACTAGGTCATTGGGAAAAAAAAAAAAAAAATCCAAGCAGTCCCAAAGTTCATAAAGTAAGTGAAAAGTCCTTCCTCTAGAATCCCTTGCCCCTCTACACCCTCTTCCCCTGCCAGGCATACCTTTTACATACTAACAGCCCCACCTCCCAGTCACGAACAGATGAACAATTTGGCATGGGTGGAATGTTTATTTAAATGGAGGTTTTTTTTTTTTGTTTGTTTTTTTTAAGTAGAATTTCAAGTCAACAATTTTACAAAGGAAAAAACCTATGAACTTTATAATAAAAAAAGGAAAAGCGGGTTGGCTCATCACGGAAATGGCCAGCTGCCTTGGAGCTGACTGCAGAGAATGTGTATGTATTAGCCTACCACCACCTCCCGGGGCTTGAACTCGGGCCTCTCAGCTCCCTAGGGGCATCTAAGCCTCCCGTGCTCCTCTCCTCAGCTCCTCTCAGGTTCACTGTTAAGTATTTCATGAGCTTATAAAAAGAAAGGTGAATGGAATCCAGTAGAGGAGGTAGGGACAGGCTTCAGTACAGCATGAATAGAAAAGATGAACTGTAGGGGCCTGGGTGGCTCGGTTAACCTCTGCCCGACTCAGGTCACAATCTCACGGGTTGAGCCCACCCGGAGTCTGTGTCTCCCTCTCTCTGCCCGTCCATAACTCACACTGTTTCTCTCTCCTTCACAGTAAATAAACACTAAAAAAGTAAAATTAAAAAAAAAAAAACAAAAAGATAGACTGCAAAATTGCCCTTAGGACATGAAAACAGCACTGTCTCTACTTCGGTTGGAAAAGTCAGTCCAAGTTACGAGGTAGTAGCATTTGCAATAATTTCGAAGTTTTAATTTTTGATCATGGAAACAAAGGCAGGGGAAAAGGAGGTCAGCAGTCGAGCTTTTGAGAAAAGGTATGGGGCGCCTGGGTACTCAGTCGGTTGAGCTACTGACTCTTGATACTGGCTCAAGTCATGATCTCAAGGATGTGAGATCGAACATCCTACTTGGATTCTCTCCCCACGCCCCGGCCTCGCCCTTACCGCCCCTCCCACAACTACGCTATGCTCTCTCTCCCTCTAAATAAATAAATAAATAAATAATAAATATTTTAAAAAAAGTATAGAGGCTGGAAAAAGTGAACTGTTTAGTAACTACTTTTTTTTTTTTTTTTTAACATTTATTCATTTTTGGGGAACAGAGAGAAGAGAAGGCAGATCATGAGCAGGGAAGGTCAGAGAGGGAGACACAGAATCGAAGAAACAGGCTCAGGCTCCTGAGCTGTCAGCACAGAGCCTGGCGAAAACTCAAACTCACAGACGAGATCGACCTGAGCTGAAGTCGGACGCCCAACTGACTGAGCCACCAGGCGCCCCAAGTAACTACTTTTTTAAAAAATGTATTTATTGTGAGAGAGAGAGAGCGCAGGAGGACTAGAGAGAGGGAGAGAGAGAATCTCAAGCAGGTTCCTTGTTGTCAGCACAGAGCCCGATGCAGGGCTTGAACTCACGAACCTGGAGATCATGACCTGAGCTGAAACCAAGAGTCGCATGTTTAACTGACTGAGCCACCCGGGGGGCCCCTAGTAGCTCATTTGTCTAGGCAGAGGAAAATGAAGAGACATAGGATTTCAAGGGGAAGATTTGGGGGACATTGTGGAGGGTCTTGACTGCCAGGCCAAGAGCCTGTACTTAACTGCTGAGACCTTGAGGGGCGAACGCAGGAAGGCTGACCTGGGCCCCCGGCGTAGAAGGTGCCCACAGACATTGGCCAGGCGGTGCTGGGCAGGCGTGAGGAGAGAGGGCACTGTGCCTGGCTGCTGGGGGCTGAAGCCCAGCACCACCCCGACTGTTTCTGGGTGTGCTGCTTCCCTCTCGGTGTCTCTGTTTCCTTCCCTTGAACGTGGGGATGAGAAGCCGGGGAGTCACCGTAGAGGCTTTGGGAGAAGAAGGCGGATGAACCCACATAAAGCCTGGCACATGGTGAGTCCCCAGCAGAGGCCCCCAGCGATCAGGTCTGAGTCGTGTGTGTGCCCGCCCAGCGGATGCCGGAGGAGAAACGTTTGTGATGTTCGTGTAGGAAGGCAACGCCTTTCGTGGTGGCCTTCAATCGAGCAGCCAAGCCAGTTAGCAACAGGCGGCTCCTGAAGCTGTTCCCGGGCTTGTCTGTGAGCCAAAGTCTAGATTAACGGTGCTGGATGGATGAAATTGCATTTAAAATTTTTGATTACGTGATAGCTTTGTCATGTTTATTTGGTGAGATTCCTTCTGATTTCTAAAATCTATTTAAATGTGCTGCTTACTGACTCTGGCAGCCACTAGGGAAGCTCATTCATGCAGTTTTGGGGAGGTTATACTGGACTCATGTAAGGATTACAGAGGTTGTGGGAAACGTCTTTTCTCATTGACTTGGCTGTTAACAGGAGCCACTTTGTTAAAGTGTCACTGATTCTTCCACTTTTCTTACTGCCTCTGCTTTACTTTTTTCTTAGCGCTGTCACAGACTGTCAATTACCTTTCGTGTCTCTCAATCTACATTGGAGGGAAGAAATCGCCTACAGTGAAGTCACCTCCTCGTGTAGGAATGGGCACTCGTGAGCAATTAAGTTTCCTCTAAAGGTTGACTAGTTTCAGGCTCCACAACCCAGTTCAGGAACAATTCGTTTTAATCTTTTTTTCTAAGGAATATATAGAGTAATATTTGGAGAGAGAGAGAGAGAGAGAGCGAGCGAGCGAGCACGAGCCGGAGAGGGGCCGAGAAAGAGGGAGACAGAGGATCTGAAGCAGGCTCTACGCTGTCAGCACAGAGCCCAGTTGGGACTCAAACTCATGAACCGAACTGTGAGATCACGACCTGAGCTGAAGTTGGACCCTTAAATGGCGGAACCGCCCCTATTTTTTGTTTTTTTTTTGTTTTTTTAAGATCGTTTAAGACCAAAAGTTGAGGCTGATTAGCAAATCCAAGTAGTTGCAGCCTCAGTTTTAGGACCTAATTAAGTCAGCCCAAATTCAGGTACCTGTTATGTGCCTGTTGTAGGAGTGTGGCAGAAAAACGTGGGACATTCCTGTCCTCTGGAGCTCGCTGCTTCTGACCTGACGCAGCGTGACAGGGTTAACATGATCATGGTGATGGCGATGGTGAGAATTTTAGCCAGGCACTAAAATTTACAGGATTTACCGCGAGCCAGGCACTTTCCAGATATTAGCTTGTTTGATTTCTGCAAGAGTGAGATAGATAATACTATAATTATCACTGCTTTGCACATGAGGAAAGCCGGCACAGAGAAGCTAAGTAACTTCTCCGAGGTCATCCAGCTAGCCATGGCAGAGTTGAGCTTTGTTCTGTCTCAGTCTGTCTCCAGAGGCTGTGCTGTTACCTGCCATGTCCTCTGACAGCGTGGGATGGGGGTGGTACCTGACTCCGTCTGATGCACAGTCGTGAACATGTGGCTAAGATCCATCCGAAAAAGGATTTCAGAACAAGGTGTATCATTTAGTCACACTGCCTGGTCATCAAATTCTAAAAGATTTTATTTTTGTCTTTGGGAAACCTGCTGCTTATAAAGGGTAGATTAAATTTTGCTTTTTATGTATTGACACGGAGTGGATTTGTTACAGGTGCAAGTAATGATATGTATTAGTGTTGTTATTTTAGGGTAGCTGTTGGCTTCAAAATAACATTCTAACGTTTACAAAGGCTAATAAGCAATACAAATAGGCATAGAAATTGGCAAACAGGAGGGCAGTGTAAACGGAAAAGAGGCGTCTTTTCTTTTTACCTTCCTATTTTGTACAGGTGCTCCGCCTACACCCATTCAGAAATGTCCACGTTCCTTTACAGTTAGTGGGGGACAAGCTGTTGCATATGGGACAGCCTTGCTTTTTGCTCTTACCTGCGGATTTAATGTAAAGGCTTCCAACATTGTTGGAATATCACACCTTGCTTTACAGTGATCGCTCGGCGAATTGTTATTGTTGGGAAATACGGTTATTGCCTTTACCTTGCCTGGATTTGGTCTCAGGTTGCAGAGAAGGAGAGCACGAGGTGTGGTAGGGGAGAAGGCCCTTCCAGCTTTCACGTCAGGAGCACTAAATCCTGAGTTTTCTCCCCTCCCTGATGGCGGTGGTGTTGGTTAGGTCCCTTCTGCCTGCTGATGAGACTGTGAGCGTCCCCGAGGCCCCTGTGAGAGGTCGGACTGGACAAATGCATAGCTGATCTGAAAAATCAGAGGAGCACATCTGTTTTGAGCAGAGAGACGTTACCGATTTTTAGATCATAAGCCACTGAGAATGGGAGGCGAGGGAGGAGTCACAGTTGTTCCAACGGCCCAGGAAGCTCGTCTTGTCCCTGAGCCCCAGATGAGGCGCTGTCTGGAGCAGCGGAAGTGCTCCTGGCCTGGGGCGGCCCACCTGTGGTCACGCGTGGAGGGGAGCGTGTGGCTGGGCCACCGGAAACATGGCTGCCAGGAAGGATGAGAGGGGCCGGGAGCTGTTTGCATCACTATCACAGGCTCTGCAGGCCCAGCACATCCCCTGTCACTGTTAACACAGACCTAGAAGTCTTCAGGATGCTGAAAATCAAGGGAACTCTTGCTTCCAAAACTTTGGTGGCTCCGTTCTGAGGGAAGAACGTGTTAACATTTGAGAACATTCTCCCCATTTAGATCTACTGAGCTGGACTCGAACTGGTCTTGGTTTCAGCTGCGATGCATGCAAGTTGGAGGAAATGCTCACGCAGTAAGTTCATCGCAGACCTGCTGTCTCCCTTCTCGCTATCGGCGGGGAGGGAAGTTGGGTATTTGCATGTATGAGTTTGGGAGGCCCTATTGAGTAGCTAAGACAAGACGACGGGCCTGGGAGTGGATGGCCCTGGTAACTTGTCTATCCCCAAATCTTTTAAATACCTCGTAAGCACAAAGCTCTGGGCTGGGTGCTGAGATACAGTGCCGAACAAGACAAAGGAGATCCCCTTTCTTAGTAACTTCTGCGTAAAACATAACTTCTCAAGTGTCCAGTTAACTTATAGTTTTAAAAGAGCAGGTCTCTTTACCCTCCCTTACAAACCTAAATAAAGAGCCTCAAATATGTTAAACTTCATTTACAAACCCAGTATATCTGATGAATCCAGTTGGGTCAATACAAGGATTGCTCACACAGGTTTCTAGAATGCCTGCTTTCATTGAGATATGAATTCCGACCCTTATGAGGTGGTTGGAAACAGTTTCCTCTAACTGTTGAAACATTTATCTTATCTCGTGCTTATGCTGTGGTTTCTGTTCACGAAGAAACAGCACTAGACAAGGTGATGGTTGGCGTGGCCCCTGTTAACCAATTTGTCAGAAATTCCAAGTTAGAGGAATTCAAATTGAAATGAATTTCTCATGAGCTAAAAGTAGTCCAGAGTGGAAAGCGTCCCCCCAAATAACAGAATAATTCAGAATGACCAAAGTGGGTTGATGGAGAAATGAAGGGTCACAGCTTTGTCATTTTGTACCGTGAGCCTCATGCCCGGTTACACAAAAATACCAATGTTCAATGTGTGGAAAGCATTCCCTTTTACAAGGAGGAGTTGACTTTAAATTAGGTAGTACGTATTCTTTTTGTAAATTATGTGGTTTAATTACTTTTGTTTTCACTAGTATTTCCCAAAAACTCCTTCATAACATGAAGTAATGTTTTCAGTCACAGGTGAGATTTAATGCCACATTGCTATTAATTCATGCATTTTTCTCTGTAGTCTTCCTTTTTCCATCAACACGGCTGTGCCACCAATGACACCAATGCCAAGTACAACAGTCGTGCTGCTCAGCTCTATCGGGAGAGAATCAAGTCGCTGGCCTCCCAGGCAACGCGGAAGCATGGCACTGATGTAAGTCACGGGTGGGTTGGAGCGCCTCCGGCAGATGAACATTCGTTTCAGTACAAAAAGTGGTTTTGGGGGCTCCTGGGTGGCTCAGTCATTTGAGCGTCCGACTTCGGCTCAGGTCATGATCTGACAGTTCGTGGGTTCGGGTCTCGCGTCGGCTCTGTGCTGATGGCTCGGAGCCTGGAGCCTGCTTCGGATTCTGAGTCTTCCTCTCTCTGCCCCTCCCCCGCTTGCACTCTGTCTCTGTCTGTCTCTCAAAAGTGAATAAAAATGTAAAAAAGAGAATTTAGGGGCACCTGGGTGGCTCAGTTGGTTAAGTGTCCGACTTCAGCTCTGGTCATGATCTCGTGGTTCATGGGTTCAAGCCCCATATTGGGCTCTGAGTTGACATCTCAGGGCCTGGAGCCTGCTTCAGATTCTGTGTGTCTCTCTCTCTCTGTGCCCCTCCCCCACTCGTACTCTGTCTCTCTCATGAAT